GCGCGGCCGGGAGGGGCCGGGGGTGCCGTGCATCCCGGGTGGCCGCGAGGCGTGTCCCCGCCGTGCCCCGGAGGAGGTGTGTTCTGGGCCCGGGGCGGCCGGTGGCGGGGCCCTGGCTGCACACCCACGTTCGTAGGGCCAGAAAGGGGAGGCGGCTTCCGCGGGGAGAACTAGGGGCCTGTTTGACACCTGGGGGGCCGTAGTGGGGAGCGATCTGCGCATTCTGGGGGTGCAGGGGGCTTTGTGCCCGCCGCCGGGCGGGGAGGTGTGCGCCGTAGGCCACCATAGAGAAAGTTGCTCTTCCGCGGGAGATAGGCCCGGGCTGGGCGGCTTGGGGGGCAGAGGGGAAAGTGTGTGCTGGAGGGCGGCGGATGAGGAGGGGCGGGAGCAGCCGACAGGGGACAGATGGAGGGGAGCGCCTTGCCCGCGCGGAGCGAGGCTCGGCCCTCCACAAACAGGGGGGCAGGCTTGTGGGGGGCCGGGCCGCCTCCTGCAGGAGGAGAGCAGGAAGCAGGTGGTGGAGTCTGGGAGGAAAAGGGGGTGTGTATTGGCGGGGGTGGGGGACTCCACTGGAGGGCAGAGGAGGGGGTGGGAGGGAAGACGGGGCCGCAGAGGGGGTGCCGCGGAGGGACGGGGTGCAGACGGCGCCCTGGAGAGGCGGAGTGGGGGGCGGGAGGGTTCCGGGCACACACACCTGAGGAGGAAGCAGACAAAGGCCTGGAACGAGAGGGAAGCTGCCCATGCATGGAAAATAGAGCAGAGGAGGGAGGGGACTCCTCGGGGACCGGAGCAGTCACATTAATTGAAAAATTAAAAATTAACTAACATTTGTAGATGCCTTCATAGTTTTGCTCACTTGAGTCTCTCTACAACCCCACAAGGTAGGCGGTGTTTTTAACTTGCATTGTAGAAAGGAAACTGAGGCCTGAGAGGGAGCAGGGGCAGAGCCTGGTCCTGGCCAGCAGCGGTCCCTCCACCTGTTGGGCCCACCACCCGGAGGGCCGGGGCCTTGCAGGTGTCTTTGGCTCCGCAAGTGGACATCATGGCCCAGGTGGCACCGGCACGCCGGGCGGCCCCAGCGGCGAGCTAAGCCCCGGCAGGGCCCTCTGAGCGCTCCTCTGCCGCAGTTCCAGGGCCTGCAGCTGGAGCGAGAGGCCTGCCTGGCCTCCAACTACGCCCTGGCCAAGGAGAACCTGGCACTGCGGCCCCGCCTGGAGATGGGCCGGGCCGCCCTGGCCATCAAGTACCAGGAGCTCCGAGAGGTGGCCGAGAACTGCGCAGACAAGCTACAGCGACTGGGTGAGGGACACTGGGGACACCCTCCGGGCTGGGGTGCAGTTGGCCTTGACAAGTGCCAGGCTCTTAGCGGGGGTTGGGGCAAACCTGGCTGTGGGCAGACTCGAGGGGTGTCACTCTTGGCCTCCTGGAAAATGGTGTAGGAAGGGGCTGGGGTGAGCAGGGCCAGGTGGAGAGGTCTGAGGGGCCCTTGGGCAGTGGAGGAAGGGGCCGATACTCAGGCGTCCACCTGGGCTGCTCTAGAAGTGAGAGGCCCTGCTTTGTCTTCTGCAACTCTTGGAGGCGAAGAATACACAAACTCGTCCCACGGGCCTCGTACAGATGGGGAAACTGAGGCCCCAGAGAAGGGAAGTGTAGGATCCCACACAGTCAGAACCCTTAGGCTGTCCCGCCTGTCACTTTGTCTCTCTGTGGCCCTCAGAGGAGACCATGCATCGCTGGAGTCCCCACTGTGCGCTGGGCTGGCTGCAGGCTGAGTTGGAAGAGGCTGAGCAGGAGGCTGAGGTGAGGGGAGAGGTGGCTGGGCCAGGGCACTGGGAGGGAGACCCCTCCTGTCCCTCTAGGGCTCACTGCGAGGCAGGCTGGGAGCTCCTTCCTCCGGGAGCCCACCGAGAGCCTGGCTTGGCTGGCCACACTTCAGTCAGCCCTGGACAGCCGGGCATAGGGTCCCCAACAGCAACCCCCCTGTGACTGTCTCAGGGTGGTGGAGGCCGGGCCTGCAGAGGCTCCGAGGCCCACTTCTGCCGGGTTGGGAGTGCAGCTTCCCCGGAGTTGAAGGGGTTAGGGAAGAGGGCACCCAAGTTGTGCTTGGGGTCTTGATGAGACTGGTCTGCTCCCACCTCGGGTCCCGCCTGCTCTCTGACCCAGCGGGGCTGGTGCCGGTGCCCTCACTCCGGAAGTAAGGACAGTGGTCCAGCCGGGCAGCGCAGGCCAGGCCGGAACTTGGGCCACGGGTGGTCCTGTGGGTAGGATCTCAGGTGGGAGGGAGGTGTCTGGCCGCCTCCTGCCACTCTTGCTCCCCTTCCTCCAGGAGCACATGGAGCAGCTGCTGCTGGGCGAGCAGAGCCTGGAGGCCTTCCTGCCCGCCTTCCAGCGTGGCCGTGCCCTGGCCCACCTGAGGCGGACCCAGGCCGAGAAACTGCAGGAGCTGCTGCGGCGCAGGGAGCGCTCTGCCCAGCCGGCCCCCACCACTGCCACCGATGCCCCCAAACCCTTCCCAGCTGCAGCCGTCCTGCCCACTGGGGCTGCCCGGGGGCCACCCGCTGCACCCCGGAGCCTACCCCCCTTGGACTCCCGCCCAGTGCCCCCGCTGAAGGGCTCCCCCGGGTGCCCCCTCGGCCCAGCACCTCTGCTAAGCCCCCGGCCCTCTCAGCCAGAGCCCCCCCACCGGTAGGATCCAGGGTGCGGCCCCCCAGTGGGGGGCCCAGACAAACTTGATTGGGGGTTCCTCCTCCTCCCCCACTGCCTGGGTGGGGGGAGGGGCAGGCCCCTCCCCCTGGCCTCAGGCAGGCCCTGGCCCTGGAGGCTGAGCTGGGGAGGAGGTCATCTGGAGGAGACCCCGAGAGGGCTGGGGTGGGTGGGCAGGGTGTTGGGCCCTGGCACTGAGGAACCTCTGCCTTTGTTGTCTCCCCGGCTGGGGCTTCCAGGGCGGTGGGCCAGCCCCATGCAAGAACTTTACTCACCCTGGGGCCCAGGAAGGTACCCGCTTCTCTGGAGGCTCCGCCCAGGGGGCCTGTTGCACCCTGCTGCTCCATGGGGCTCGAACAACGCCAAGGCCAGCGGGCGTGTTTTCCATCACGTCCTGAGCCTACCTTTCCCCCAGCTCTGGAGCCACCGCCTAGGAGCCAGCGGCCAGGCCCCAGCTGTGGGGCCAGGACGCCGTGGCCCTGGGCCCGCTCCGGGACCCTCTCCTGCTCCAGTCCCTGGGCCAGGGTAGGCCGGGGGCGTCTGACCTGCACAGGCAAGAGTGGGCCATCCCCAGGAAAGACCATTCTGTATTTTTCTGTCCCTGTCTCCTTAGAATGGAACCTTTTTGAGGGCAGGTCCTTGTCTTTGTATGTTCTGTCCCCAGCCCCGCCTCCTAGGGGCCGTCAATAAATGTGATGATGAAGATGCTGCTGCCCGCCTCCTCTCTGCCCCCTCCGCCAGCCTCCACCTCAGCTCCCGAGCTTCCTACTCTTGAGAGGCCCTTCCTTCCTTAGCGCAGTGGAAGCCCGGCTGTCCTGCAGGTCCGGTACCGCTGCTGCTGCCTCTTACAAGAAGCCTGCTCTGATTACCGCCCATGAAAGCTTTTCCTAAACCTTACCTCCCGGCACTTCGGGCATGTCTCCATGGCTTCGCCTGTCCGCACCTTCTTTCCCAGGGTCGCAGGACCAGGATGCTGCCTGTTTCCTTTCTGGTCTGCCACAGGACTGCCCCTGCCAGAGGGGTCTGTAGGGCCGGAGGATCTGTCCTCGGCTTGCTAGGTGGCCAGCTTGGCTGATGAATATGGAGCAAGAAGGGCGAGCAGGACGTGAGGTTTGGCAGAGAGGCACGGAACCGCCTGCAAAGGGAGATTTGCAAGAGTACTGGGGAAGCCTTCCAGCCTAGTATGCTCTTGGTGTGTGAACAGAGCCTGCGGGATCGCTCGACAGGATCAGGATCGCTAGAGGCTTAGGCAGAGAGATTGGTGTGTGAGATTTGCAGTGCTTGTCCTAGGACTCCGAGGACTCGTCCTAGGCTGGCACAGTTAAAGCACCAAGAACCCGCTTCACTGGAGAACCCACCTTGGCCTTGGTTCTCCCGCCCTCCTCATTGCTTACACTTGAACAGCTGGAAGCTGAGAAACATTAGGTGAGTCCTAGACACAGGTGACTCACCAGGGGACACAGGGTGACTCCTGAGATGACAGGCCTCCCCTTCCTGGCCAAGCTTCCAGATGTTTAGTTTGTAACCACGAGAAAGGCAGCTAAAGCTGGGCAAGTCTGAGCCCTTCTCCACCCCCGTGATGTGGGCAGTGGCATCCAGAGGGGAAGGCTAAAGTCCGGGACAGGTGAGAAGCAGAGGAAGGCAAGACCCAGCCAAGAGAGACCGACCTGGATGGGGTCCCTCCCAGGGCCTCCCACACCTCACCTTCCACGAAGGCTCGGGCCCTGAGTTCAGCTCAGCTGGACAAAGACCTGAAGCCAGTGGGGACGGCATGGGCCTACTTCTGGGGAGTATGGGGAAGGCTTGGAGTTGTCTCAAGAAACTTCCCAAAACCCCTTGCTTGAAGGTTCGTGGAATGTTCTGGAAGGTTTCAGACAGCCTGGGCCCTTCCTCCTGCCTGAAACCTGCTTCTAGGTTCTGAGGCCTCAGGAAACAGTCCTGGCAGTGATCCTCTGTCACAGAGGATGAAATTGAGTGTACACATGCAAGGCCCATGCAAAAGGCCCTAGGACAGGTGCCTCGTGCTTTTATAAACCTGAAACAAATCGCCCCCCCCAAATAACAAAGCTCCCACCTCTTTTGGATTAAAAACAGTTTTTGTCCCTCAAGAAAGTTTTACATACACCTCTTTGTTTGGGAATTACTAGCTTCTCCGTGTTTCCCTGAACTTCTCCCCTTGTTTTCCAAATATGAAACAACACTAAACGTGCTTTGTTTTACCCATCAAAGCTCCCTGGGCTGAGCAGGCGTGAGCCAGTGTGGTCCTCGCAAAGCCTGGCTGAGAGCTCGTCCTGGACCTCCATGGCAAGAGAACCGAATGGTTTCCAAGAGAACAAGTTGGTTGGATTTGGTGCAGGGTTATCTCAATTTATACAAGGATTTTTTACACAAAAGCCTGGCTGGAGGAATTGGTATTATGGCACCAAAGGACCTCTCTGGTTTGTCCAAGACCTTGCCCTTGCTGTAGGCCTCTCAAAAGGTGTTTCTTGCCCCACAGTGAAAATAAAATTTATACACAGGGGCTGGGGACGTGGCTCAGTGGTAGAGCACTTTCTAAGTGGTTGCAAGGGCCTGAGCTGTCCCAGCACTGCCCCGGCTGGCTCCCACAGGGATTTACACTCACCCCTCCTGCGAGAAGTGTGCTTAGATCTACACATTCTCTGTACCTTAAGGATTTGCTAACTCCAACGCCCGTAGGGGCCAGGAAGTGACACAGAGGTGCTAAGCAGTCAGTTTCCACAAAGAAACGCCATTTTTTTGGCAAACCACAGTCCTCACTCTTGGTTTTCACCCATGATAGACATGGGGTAGAGAAGTATTTTTCTACTCAGGAAGATGGCACAAGTGTGTGTGCGGTGAGGCCCTTCACACGTCACTGTTCCCAGTCACTGCTGGAAGTGCGCAACTGGGGAGCAGTGGCTCCTCTTTAGGGAGGATGCCGTTCCGCTTTTCCCAGTTCCCTGAGCGGGGTGGCGGCAGATCTTCCCATGTTTTGAGAAGTCAGCAATCTATTTTTCTGCAGTTTCTCGTGTTCTCAATGTTGGTTATAAAGTTATTTTAGGGCACTGTCCAGGTCAAAGGCACTGTTTGCAGTTTGGCCGCGGGCCATGAACTATGTATGCATGGATCTGTCTGCTCTTGGTCCCCCTCAAACAGGCCTTTGAGTGTCTACTGCAGTCCCCTCCCGGGGGGTGTGACCGCTGAAGGGACAGAGGCAGGAGGGGAAGGGGGAGTGACAGGAACCCAGGTTGGGGCACAGTGGAGAGATGGGGAGACACCTAGTGACGCTGTGACCTCCGGATAGGGGTGAGAGATAAAGTGTGTGTGGGACGAGGGCAGAGTTCCCGCTGTGCGCGGTCACACGGTTCAGACTCCAAGCTTGTCGTGGTTTGAAGCCACTCACAGAGGGCGGCTCGGCTGTGTGCACTCAGTCCCGCTGGCCAGCAAGCTCGGGCTGAGGGCTGAGCTGGCCTGGGCGGTAGGGCAGCGAGGCAGCGAGGCAGGTCTTTCCCACGATCTTGCTCACAGGCAGGTGGCAGTGTGTGACTTCATCACAGGCCCGAGGAACTGACAGCAGAGCCTGTTTTTCTGAGCCCTGAATTCAAGTGTCCCTTCTCAGCCTGTTTTGCTGGATCGGGGGGGGCCCAGGAAGCCCCAAAGCTCAAGACACAGGCCTCTCCCATCTCCCAAAAGGGAGTGCTGGTGGCCACTCACTCAGTGCCTCTGAGGACCTCTTAAATCACTCAAGACCCGGTGGACAACTCCTTGGCCGGAGGAAGGCTATTCTCAATCATCCTGGCTCACGCTGGGACCACGACAGAGGCCAAAGGCGCACCTGGTGAGTGACTGCCAGAAACCCAGAAGAAGGCAAGCAGGAAGACATCCTGCTCCTCAACACTGGGGTCTGCAGAGGGTCGTTTCTACCCAGCATCAAAAAGACCCGTGAGAGGACGAAGCAGTTTGCCTGAGGAGGCATAACGTCCTGCTAAGTCCAAAGCCAGTACAATGGCTGGTATGTGCACCTCTGATTCCTGTCTGGTGGCCTGAGTCTCCCCCATGGGACCTTTGCATGCTGTTCTCACAGTCTTGGTACCTGTACCCCTTCCTCACTTCCCGAGCAGCCTGGGGTACACAGTGTTCTCTTCGGACCTCGTCTCCCATTCCAGGTCCAAATGTCCATGGAGTTTTGCTTTGCAACCAAAGAAGAACAAGGACTCAAATAAATAAATAAATAAATAAACAAACAGAACAAGGATTCAGATTGGGAGTCTGAGGCTTCCCACTCCTGGGACTTGGGGAACAGCCTTAGAAGGCAGGGCTAATGTGCTCGGCCTAGCTCAGTGTCTTCTGGCCAGAGCAGCTAACAAGTAGAGAAAGGAAAGACCCAGGACAACCTGGGAGGTTGGTGGGAGGGAGAAATGTTTCCATGGGAACCAGCCGGGGTCTTTCAGAAAGCCTCCCACATCTCTCCCTGCCAGAGGGTAGGAAGCACTAGGGATCTCAGCAGGGGGAGGCAGGTGCTCAAGGATACATACTCTCAGTGCAGGAGGCCTAGTTCTGGGCCGTGGGAGACGCTTGGCCTTGGATGACAGTTAATACATTTTGTAGACCTCCCTGCTTAGAGTTGCACAAAATGTTCTGCAAGTTTCAATTAGCTTCCACTGTCTCCCCTTCCCCCCAGTCTGAAATCTGTAACTTTCTTGTGCCTACAGGTTCTAGGGAAACATGAAACATTGTTGACTCTGATCTCAACTGAGAAAAACAAACCTGGGAGGTCTCTGCACAGGGGCCCAGGCAATAACCAAACCCTTTTGAAAAAAACAATAGACCCTTGTGACAAGGCCTCCCTTACGCCTCATTTTTTCAGTTGAGAAATCACTAACTTCTGCACATTTTGTTAAGCCCTACCTCCCCTAGTTTGTATTTCAAAAATAATAGGCTTTCTTGTTTTTTAAATATGAAACATAGTAACATTAAATGTTCTTTCAAAAAGTACCTATCTCCCCTCACCCCAAAGCAAGGCTCACTGAGCCAAGCAAGCCTGAACCTTAGTATTACTGCATAGCCTGGGGCTAGGAGTTTACCCCACCTCCAAGGTGACAATTGAACGGCTGCCAAGAGACCAAGCTCCACCGGCTGGGAGCTTATCTCTTTTTTTTTACTTCTTCAGCACCAGAGATTGAAACCAAGGCCTCACGCATGCTAGGCAAGCACTCTATCACAAGGCTACATCTCAAGCCCTTCTATTTTTTTACATTTTGAGAGAGGATCTCACTAACTTGCTCAGGTTGGCCCTGAATTTGGGACCCTCCTGCTTCAGCCTTGTAGCAAGGGTTACAAATGCACCACCAGGGCCAGCTGGGTCTATCCCAATTTATACAGGAATCTTATGGAAAATATCTACAGTAGGAATTGGTATTAATGTACCGACCTGGTCCCACATCCCTGCCATACCTCCAGCAAGGGTTTTGTTCTCCTACAGCTCTACATTGTACAAACACCAGCACCAGTAGTCTCACAAGGGAGGCACTCCCCACCAGTGGGGAGTCAGAGGTCAGGGACTGTGTAACCACTGCAGCTCTGACCAAGCAACATGGACCAGCTACTCAGCAGGAATGAGGAAAACCAGACAACTTTCAGCTAACTCTGCATAAGAAACCCAGTGTCCACCTTGACCAGCAAGCCTCCTGTCCCATCCTTGGGGTGTAGTCCTGGCTGCTCTGAACCCCCAAAGTTCCCCACAGCTTGCAGCAGCCCTGTTTCAAGGACTCGGCAGAAGCAGGGCCACTTTCCAGGACTAAAGTTCCTGGAAGTCTATTTCAGAGGGGACTGGCTGCATAGTTAACAATGGCTAGAAAAAGTATTGTAGGTGACTGGTGCTCTGTCCCAGGACGAACCTGGCCCTATTAGCATTATGCTATGGATTAGGCCCACGGATAAGCCGTGACCGACAAGAAAGCAAATGATTCCTCCTCTGCGGTCGTGGCACAGGATTACCTCTCCGAGGTCAGCCACTGCACAAACATGGACACAGGAGCGGTCCTTACATTTGGGCCCCGGACCGAGGCCGGCGGTGTGGGGCAGACCCTGGGGGGCCCGCAAGCTTCCCGCAGCCCACATTCCTACCCTGCTCAACCCTACAGCGACTTGGGGAAACGCACAGAGAGACAAGTTTCAGACAACCCCAGAATTTTTCTTTTGGCAGCTAACACTGGCCTTATTGGACGTTTCAAGGTTACAGAAGGAACCCCAGAATCAGTGGGGTGGGGGGCAGGAGCCACGAATCTTGCTCAGGGCTTTACAAGGAAGCCGGAGCAAGCGATGGGGAAGTTGGCAACACCAGCAAGGCAACCTCAAAAAGCAGGGACTTCGGAAGACCCTTCCGTCCTGGGCTTCCGGGACCTCATCCTGAGGCCTCCGTGCTGGGCATCACCGGCCTCCTTCTATGGACCACGGGGGGGCGGTGTGCAAGTCATCGGGGCGGCAGAGGGCAGGAGGGCACTGTCCCTTCGCAGCCCAGCAGGGGCAGGCCAGTGCGACAGCAGAGGACGTAATCTTGGGGCCGGCTGGAGAGGCTCCCCTGCCCTCCTCTCTCCGACTAAATACGAAGGCCGACGGCGATGAAGATGAGGAAGAGCAGCAAGACGCCGGCGGTGTCGCGGGTCTCGTCCCAGCGGAAGCCCTTCCTGGCCCGGTCCTCCTGCAACTTGCGCAGGGCCTCCCGCTGGGCCCGCAGGCGCTGCTCGCGCTGCAGCTGCATCCCGTAGTGCGCCTGGTAGAAGGCGTCGAAATCGAACAAGGTGCGGCCGGGGCCCGGGGCGGCCCGCTCGGCGCCGCGGACCCGAGAGGAGACCGGCGGGGAGCGCGGCGGGTCGCGGGCGCCTGCCGGCGTCGTGGGTCGGAAGCCGGGGCCCCGCAGGTCCTCGTCGCTAAGAAGTCCGCGGTCGTATTTGCGACGGAGGGTGGCACTGCCCAGCACCAGGTACGCCTGGGAGACGCGCGTGAAGCGCTCGGCAGCCTCGGCGCTCCCGGAGTTGCGGTCCGGGTGGTAAAGGAAGCACTGCCGGTAGTAAGCCGCCTTTATTTGCGCCTGGGTGGCTGTGGAGGGGACGCCGAGCAGGTCATAGAGCGCCGTGCGCGAGTACGAGCCGTCGCCCCGGGAATAAGTCCTCGCGGTTAAAGCCTGACCCGCTGCCAAATTTGAATTTTGGGGCCATCTCACGGGTTGCCACAACCTCCATAGAACAAGCCGCAGACACCTCAGACGGCCCGCGGCTGCCATCTTGACACGAGGTGGGCGGTGCGAGACAAGCTGCCCAATGGGAGTGGCGGGTGGTGCGCCGGCCCGCCGCCACGAAGGCCAATCAGGGAAAAGGAGGGCGGGGAGTGGGCGTGGCAGGCTTATTATGAGGCGGTCGCAGCGCTGATGACGCAGAAGCTGTGTTCTCGGGGAGGCGTGTGGAGGCGTGTGGCGGCGTGCTGCTTGCTCGAGCTTCAGGATGGCGTCTCGCGGCCGCAGACCCGAGCACGGCGGACCTCCGGAGCTGGTGAGACGGGTGGCCCGCGGGCACCGTTGTCTCCTAGGGTCCCTGAGTCTGGGGTGTTTCCTCTACATGTCATTTCTCTTTCTTTTCTCCTCAGTTTTACGACCAGAAAGAAGCCCGGAAATACGTTCGCAAGTGAGGGGAGCCTGGATACCCGCGCGGCGTCGGGGCGGGGGGCGGCGAGCGGCCCCGACTGTGGGCGGTGGCGGGACGGCTCTTCGAGCTGTGGGGCGGGAGTGAGGAGAGACCTGGGTTGGTGCTGTTTGTGTCACCGGTAAAGCCACCGTTAAGCCCCTGCGTTCTGTGGGCCTCGCTAACCTCAGCGGCAGCGTGGGTGTGACCGTCCCTGCCTCACCGAGGACGTTTTCAGAGCTTAGTGTGACACATGAATCCTCCTGCCTCAGCCTTCCAGGGTGCTGGGATTACAGGCGTGTGCGCCGCGCCCGGCTGCCCTGTGGTAGATAGGCAGAGGACACGAGTAAAGTGTCCTTACCGCTGTGGGGAAGGAAATAACATTCATGGAAGGCTTGTTGTGTTCCCGTGTGCGTTATCTCACTAAAATTTTACAACTGTTGACGTGGTATTTAAAAAAATTTTATAGGGGCTGGGGATTTAGCTCAGCGGCAAAGCGCCTGCCTGGCAAGCGCAAGGTCGTGAGTTCGGTTCCCGGTACCAGAGAAAAACCAAAAAAAAACAAACAAAACAAAATAAAAAAATTTTATAGAGAGTAGTTATTTGTGTAACTACGAAGTCATCCGACAGGTAGAGGATAGAGCAAGACCTTCTAAGCCTTGTTTTTTCCTTTTTGATACACTACTCAATAGAAAACCCTGTAGATAGGTATTCTCTTCTGATTAAGTTGGTGTCCAAGACAGAAAGAGTCAAAAACTTACAGCAGTTACCTTTATGCATAAAATATAGACTTTATTCTAGCTTCAAAATCTCAGTATTGCTGGTGGCACACACCGGTAGTCCCAGCACTCAGAAGGCTGAGGCAGGAGAATCGTTGCAAGTTCGAGGCCAGCCTGAGCTACAAAGTGAGCTCAAGGCCAGCCTGAACTGCGTATCGAGATCCTGTCTCAAAAAGACAAAAAAAAAAAAAAAAAAAATTATCAGTGTTAGAGATTTTGTAAACTGTTATGAGTAATTCTCTTGATTTTGGGAAGGCTAGATACACATCTACTGCTGTCTGTTTATTTGTTTTTGTCTTTTTTTTTTTTTTTCTTTCCGGTAATGGAAATCGACCAGGCAGGCACTGTGCCGCTGAGCTAAATCACCCAGCCCTTTTTTGTCTTTTTGAGAGAGGGTTTTTTTACCCAGTTCAGGCTGGCCTTGAACTCACTTTGTACCCCAGGCTGACCTCAAAATTGCAGTGCTCTCGGTTACCTCAGCCTCCTGAGTGCTGGTATTACAGGCGTTTACCACCATGCCCAGCCATCCATCTATTGATTTGGGGTTTGGTTTTTTGTTTTTTGGTTTTTTTTTTCTGTTTTTTCCTTTTTTTTAGACAGAGTCTCACTGTAGTGCAGGCAGGCCTTGAACTCACTTATGTATCCAGGCTGGCCTCGAACTCACTGCGATCCTCTTGCCTCAGCCTCCCACGTCCCGGGATTATAGGCGTGCGCCACTGAGTCTGGTGCACATCTATTAAAATGCAGCTAATTTGGAGGACTTTATATGGAGAACTGCAAAATGTCTTACGATATTTTATTTGTGTGCTACTGGGTATTGAACTGTGTCTGAGCTGCATACCCAGCCCTTTTCAAATTTTGAGACAGGGTCTTACCACGTTACTAAATTACCCAGGCTGGGCTTGGACTTGTGGTCCTCCTGCCTCAGCTTCTCAGAGTAGTGGGTACAGTGTACCATCAGTCTTGACTAATTTATCTCTTTGATTGTATTTTGAAGTAATATTTCAGGCATATTGGGTTAAGTGTACTATTTGGTATATGGGGTTAAGAAAACTTAACTACAGTATGCCTATTTCTTTTTATCTTTGGCTCCCAGAAAGTCATAAGGCTTGCATTATATTTCTAAGGGACAGCACTGCTAGAGATGTTTTTTGTGTTTCGGGTTGGTGTTTGTGCTGATATATGCTAGGCACACTATCACTAAGCTGCATTCTCAGCCCATTGCAAGTTCCATTGTCCATTGTTGGTCCTTATATGTGAGAGTAACTGGTGCATAATTATTTCAGAGAATATATTCCTAAGTAAAGCATTGATTGCTTCTCAGCCTTTTGGCAAAGATCAAGTCTAAGTAGTAAAGCATCAAAGGGGTTTTGGTAGTGAGTGGTTGGTCCTTACTTGTGTGATTCATTGCCTTCACATCAGCTTTGCAGCTGCTTTCCTTATAATCTCTGCTACAATAAAATAATAGTTGCTATGTTACATGGATTTTGGGGGTCCCATTTAAATATTGTATTTGAATTTGTTGATACCAGTCAGGATTAAAGGGGACAGGCTGGGCATGGTAATACATGCCTGTAACCCCAGCACTTGGAAGGTGAAGGCAGGTGGATTGCCGTAAGTTCAAAGTCAGTCTGGGATACATAAGCAAGTTCAAGGCCAGCCTGCACCACATAGTGAGACCCTGTCTCAAAAAAAACAACCAAAAAGGGTGTGTGTGCGTCAGCAAAGATTGTGCCTGGCTTGATTGTACTTTCTTGGAGAGGTATTAACCAGGCTCGGTCACCACTCGCTTGTGTTTCTGTCTTCCCAGCTCGAGGATGATTGATGTCCAGAGCAGGATGACAGAGAGAGCATTGGAGCTCCTTTCTCTGCCCGAGGGACAGCCCTGTTACCTGTTGGATATTGGGTGAGCTCTTGGGGCCTGGTTCCCATCATCTTGGTGGTGGTGGAGAGTTTGCTGCTCAACTTTTTAAGTCTGTGATTATGTCTTCCAGCTGTGGTACTGGTCTGAGTGGAGATTACCTCTCGGACGAGGGGCACTACTGGGTGGGCATGGACATCAGCCCCGCCATGCTGGGTGAGTGCGTCCTGTTTTATCACCAGAGTCAGCGATCCTCATGAGTACGAGCTGCCATATTTACTGCCTCCGTGCTTCATGTCTGTTCTCCAATGTAGATGCCGCCTTGGACCGAGAAATCCAGGGAGACGTTCTTCTGGGGGACATGGGCCAGGGTATTCCTTTCAAACCTGGTTCCTTTGATGGTTGTATCAGGTGAGAATCTCTACTTCCAGCTTTTTGTCCTCCAGGCCAGTGCTTTCCAAGCCTGGCCATGGAGCAGAGACATGCAGGGTACTTAATGGTTTTGTCTTTGGGGATTTTCAAGTTAATAAGTGCAGAGGAGTGCCCCCTTCCCTTTTTTCTCCCTTTGTATTCCAAAACTGTCTACTTCTGTGACCCTCTCGGATTGTCAGGCACTTCTGATCTGGGTTCTGCCTCTGCCTCGTGTATGCTAGGGGTGGGGTTAGGGTACAGCCTTTGAGTGTCTAGGAGCCATTTTGTGGCCCAGCCAACATCTTTGGGGGCTCCTGCAGTGGCCCTCTTGGGACAGCTGCCACTGTCTTGTGGGTCCCAGCAGCCATCTGGTTTTCAGCTTTCCAAAGCTCCAGTGGAGAGTGGGTGAGACTTCTCATCTCCTTTGGCTTCAGAGCCTTACTTGGTGGTTGGGGTCACATTTGAAGATGTGTACTGTACTTTGATAACCAGCCTTCGAAGACTGAAATTCCTTTCAGAAATTTGAAGTTTTCTTCTGGCTAAGTTCTGTCTGGCATTTGGGGTGGTGTTCTGTGGCTGGGATACATGTCGGGACTAGGAGAGAAAGATAAAATTGTCTGTCGGGGAGCTCTCCTTGGGTGATCCTAGGTTAAGAGTTAGGATATGGGTGAGGAGTAAATAGATTTGAAGATTTTACATGTAGGAGTAAAATTGAGGTGGGGGTGCATTTCAAAGGTAGCAGCAGCGCGTTGGTAATGATTAGATGAGGTTTCTGAAGCTGCAAAAACAAACACACACAACCAAACGCCTACAGTATAAATCTGAAGGGTAAATAGTTCTATGTGTGTGCTTGGGATTGGAGCCTTGTGCATGGTAAGCGTGCTATCGCCAAACTGCGCCTCCAGCCAGTTTTTTTCTGTTTTTGAGAGATGGTATGGCAAGCTTTTGTTTGTTTAATTTGCACTAGCCTATAATCCCAGCACTTGGGAGGTTTAGGCAGAAATATCACCACAAATTCAAGGCCAGCCTGGACTCCATAGTGAAACCCTGTCTCAAAAAAAATTTTTTTTTTTTTTGCTCTAACGTGGCCCTTGTCTAAGGTGCTCTGGAGTACGTGGGGGGGAACTCACAGGCCCTGGTTGGTAGGTTTGAATTGTTCTGCTATGGACTTCGTGTGTTTCCTGACACCCACAGACATATACTTCAGCTGCGTCTGTAATTAGAAATAGAGTTGCTGGTCTAGAGGTGTGTACATGTTTTCTGGGGTTTTTAACCATTTTATAATCTCACTAGCAATGTATAAGTGATTTAAGTTCTTCTGTGTCCTGCTAGCCATCCCTGCTTTTAAGATTTTGTATGGGGGCTAGAAATGTGGTTTGGTAGTAGAACACTTGCCAGCATGCTGAAGGCCTTGGGTTTGATCCCAGCCTTGCAAACGGGAAAAAAAGAAAGATTATTTGTGGTGTATGAGGTACTGTAAGTCAGGCCGGCCACCAAGCACCAGGCCTGTGTGGGCCGTGTGGCCCCAGAGCTGTGAGGAGCAGCAGTGCACGCAGGATCGCTCTGAGCACGAGAGGGGCTGGGTGGCCTCTGTGGTCAGGGGTAGGCTGCTCAGTGAGAGGACAGTGTGAGCAGAGGCACAGACACGGGTGTGACAGGCATTTGGAAGTTCACAGGGATGTGTGTGAGATCTCACGGAGATGAGATGGGGTGGGGTTGGTTCCCAGAAGGCTTTTTGGTGAGACCTAAAAAGTTGGGGCTTTTTCCATAGACAGGAGCTAGGGAGTGACAGGAGCTGATCTCTGGTGGAAAGGTTCTTGCTGGCAGAAGTACAGCTGGCAGGGAGGTTGCTGAGGATTTTTTTTATTGTTGATTTTTTGTTTTTTTGAGACGGGCTGACCTTGAACTTAGTGTGTAACCCAGGCTGGCCTCAAACTCACGGCAGTCTTCCTGCCTTAGCCTCCTGAGGGCTGGGATTACAAGTGTGCACCACCATGCCCCACTGCTGAGGCCTTCAGGAGCGCGGTGGGTGCTGAGGCAGTGGGGAGAAGCGGAGGCTGGGAGAGGCAGAGTGTGGGGTTCTGTGGCTCTGCTCTTGGCAGTCAGAAGGGAGGACGGGGCCTGGCACAGACCCTTCTCAGGTACAGCAGAAGGACCCAGCTAGGAGGCAGCGAGTGAGTGAGTGAGCGGCGGTCCAGTGTGCGTCCTGTGGTTGGCAGAGGGAGAGGGCGGGTGGGCAGAGGTGGTCTTGACACTCGGAGGTCTCAGCACTGGCTTGAGGGCAAGGTGAGTGCTGCCCCTCTGCGCAGCGTGATGGGTCCGGTTGTGAGGTGGCCGGGGAGGACCAGCGTTTGCCGAGAAGGGAGCAGGGGACACACGATCCCCAGGGGTGATGGCAGAGTCCCGAAGAGACAGGAGGTGGGGAGGGGGAAGGGCTTGGACCTCTTCTGATGTCTCCCTTCTTTTTCAGCATCTCTGCTGTGCAGTGGCTCTGTAACGCTAACAAGAAGTCTGAGGTCCCTACCAAGCGCCTGTATTGCTTTTTTTCTTTCCTGTATTCTGTTCTTGTGAGTATGAGATCTGCTTCCCGTCTGGGCTGGCTGCCTGTCCCCTCCCTTGCCCTTGAATTGTTCTGCTGTGGGCTTCATTTGTGTTTCCTGATAGTTGAGGGGTCCCATGATGGGAAGGTCACTCAGGTAGGGCCACATCGGGTAGCAGGACCTCCCTGTGGAGATTTCTCTCCTGGCCCTGAGCGGGAACAGAAGGCCGAGCTCATTGGGCTGATGTTTTATCAATCCCAGAAGACGGTGTTGACGTCTGAGACCAGCTTACTGACTTGGACTAGGCTACTCCTCTTAGCACCACTGCTGTGTTCTCTCTGCTGCATTTTCTTGCTTGCCTCACTGGTGCTGGGGATTGAACCCAGGGCCGTCACACTTTGGAGACACGGTCTCACTAAGTTGCCAAGGCTGGGCATTTTAATAAGGAGTTGCGTTGGGGTTAGGAACCGCACCATGTGAGGGCAGAGAGGACGCCTTCCAGAGTGTGCGCCTTACCTTTACAGCGGGGTGGTACACATTTCAGTTGGTTACTAAGAGCAGATGGTGGGTGAAGACTCCTACAGTGAGTTTCTTTTACATTTCTGAAGGCCTGAGGTGAGTTTACCTCCTCAGGCTGCCGCACGCACCCCAGCTGTCGTACGCGGTATCATCTGTGGATGTCCTGCTGGTCTCATGCACGTCATGGTTTCTCCCCATGCATGCTGGGGTTCATCCTGAAGTCCCTTTCTCTGCCAAAATCTTCTTCCTCTGTGTGTTCCGGTAGCTACTGAGGGCTGTGCTCAGCCGTCCCTCGAAGAGGCCTAGAACCACAAGAGAACTCAGTAGTACTTGCCAGCGGGCTGCACCTTGTCCCAGTTATCGTTCTTTCTGGCGCTTAGTTGCCTTCTCCGCTAGAACCGAGTGCCAGCAGTTCAAGGTGCTGATAATGTCCGCAGCCTAAGAGCAGTGCCTGGAACACAGTGGGAGCTCTGTGAATATTTAATGAGCAAAGGCGGGAAGAGTGTCCCGGTCTGATCCCACAGGGGTTCTGGGAGGTGGTGACGTCTGTGTTGCCTGCAGGTCCGTGGGGCCCGGGCTGTCCTGCAGCTGTACCCGGAGAACCCAGAGCAGGTGAGCCCTTGGCTGCTGGGGCACAGGGGTGGGGGTGGCCCAGAGTAGGTGGGCCATGTGCTCCTCATGGAGCTCTTGGAGGTGACAGAACAAACTCATGCTGATGGCTGGAAAACAGGGAATGAGCACCCTGGAGGGCCTGGGAGCCGTGATGGCAGATTTGGTGACCTCCTGTCCTAAACGCTGGTATCTAGGGCTTGACAGACAGGATGGTGTCACAGATAGCACGGCAGGATTCACTCATTTCCATGCGCAGATGCATAAATGGGAGGGCAGCGGTGGAGGAGGGGACCCAGCAACAGGAGTTAGGAGCGAGAAGTTGGGAACCAGGAAGTGCAGACCCAGACAGGTGATGAGCTGTCCCTGACCAGTAGCGTGAACGCGTGGCTCCCAGTGGTGGCCATTCATTTCCTGAGATTGGAGTGGGGCTGGGCCCCTGGGCTGGGAAGTGAGACTGGGGGAAAATGCTTCCTTCCGTGGTTCCTGCAAGGGAGATGTGGCATGACTAGCCGGCCCATGCTCTGCTGTGTGCCTTTTAAGGACTAAAAGACTTTCTGTCACCAGGCAGGGTACAGAGGGGGAGGGTGAAGGTGAAGGTTCTGCACCTCCAGCCTGACGCTGGTCCTTCTGTCCACAGTTGGAGCTCATTACGACCCAGGCCACGCGGGCTGGCTTCACGGGCGGCGTGGTGGTGGATTACCCGAACAGTGCCAAAGCAAAGAAGTGAGGGTGGGGCAGTGGGGTGGAGCTGGGATGGGTCACCAGGCTGGGCAGGAGGTGGGGAAGCGGGGAGACCTCATGAGCCAGACCTCACCTTTGGTTCTCTTGTTCTAGGTTCTATCTCTGTCTGTTCTCTGGGCCTTCGGCCCCTCTGCCCAAGGTGAGGGACCTGGCTTGCAGGCCTGGGACAGTATGCCTGGCGGGACACTGGTGGTCAGGGCAGCTGAGCTAGGAGTCCCACAGGCCTGCGTTCTCCGGGTCTGGAGGCAGAGCTTGCCCTGCAGGCCCGGGAGGGGGGTCTTGGGCTCTTTTCCAACTTGGGCCTGGCGCCTGCTGGAGGGACTACAGCCTGGCCACAGCGGCTAGGGAGGGCAGATTGGTTGAGAGCTCCAGGGGGATCAGAGACTGCTGTGGTTCCTGCAGGGGCTGAGCGAAAGTGAGAACAGAGAGGAGGCCACGGAGTCCACGTTCACCAAGGACAGGTAAAGCCACCGAAAATGCTGCCAGGTCAGCTTGTGTGTTTCTCTGCTTCTCTGGGCCTCAGGTGGAGCCACTGCGGAGGCGGCATGAGGGGAGGACAGGCCTCGGTTTCCTCTGTGAGCCTGCGCCTGCCCCGCCCTATGCCGTGCTCAGCCAGCTACCCGTTCCTCCTCCACCTGCACCCGTCCCTCCCCTGAGCCTCCCTTGCATCCCAGAGATCCTCCCCAGCGCCCAGAGCAGCTTCTGGCCCCCTTGGGGCCGGCTTTCCGGGCAGCAGGGTCCTTGCGCCCGTCACCCCTTGCTTCCTGTTCACCACTCGCTCAGTTCTGTCTCCTCACACACGGTTCTTGTCAAGCTGTGCCAGCTTCATCTTCCCAGGTCGCCTCGCTCCTTCCCTTCTCTGCCGAGCTGCTCTGACCAACCCAGATGGGTCTAAGGTGGTGACTGTGCCCTCCTGACACTTCCGCCTTCCCCACCCGGCTCCTGGCGCTCTCCACCTCCCTGGCTGCCTCTTTAAATACCCACTGAAAGACAAGTCCCTAATACCTTTTCTTTTCTTTTTTCTCTTTTTTTTTGTGGTGCTGGGGATTGAACCTAGGGCCTTTACTGAGCTACATCCTCAGGCCTTTTAAATTTTATTTATTTATTTAATTTTAGTTTTTTCTCAAGACATTGTCGTGGTATGCAGTTCAGGCGTGCTGGGATTACAGGCATTTGCCACTATGGCCAGTCCACGATGTCTCACGGTGTTAGGATGAATTTCCTCTGCCCCTGGAGGGAGCAGAGTCCTCACTGGTGTCCAGCCCACCTCGAGTTTTTCCCCAGGGCTCCCCTCCGGTCCTCCACAGTGCCAGCCTCTTCTGGGTCCCAGTCCTTTGCTGTAGGCGCCAGCCCCCTGGGCTTGTCCTGGTCTCCCAACACAGCCCTTGGGCGTGTGCAGTTGGCCAAGAAAGATGAGGCTGCTTCCTGAGCACCAAGGCCTGCGGAGCTCAGATGGAGGATACTCACGGCAAGCACCCCTCGGGCTATGTGGGGAGCAGTGTGCTTGCAAGGTGGCAACGTAGCTTGTAGGAGCCTCGCTTCCTCTCTTCTCAGGGCCTCTTGCCCGTTGGGCTGCTGGGGATCGCATCGCTCCTCAGCCAGGGCTGGAGGCCAAAATCAGCCCTGGAGGAGCATCGTCAAGAGCTGCCACGAGTGGGCAGCCTTGTTTTCCTGCCTCGGACATGTGTGGGGGCTGGGGGGCTGGCTGTGGCAGGCACCACGAGCCCCGAGTGGGAACAGGGCCTCGCTGGGACCCCTACCTCCTTGGGCCCTGCTTCTGGCCTAGTCCTCCCCCCAGTAGGCTCCACCACAGGCAGGACATGTGCACACCGGCCCTGAGGCAGGTAAGGGGTTGCGTACCCACCTTTCTGCTCTACAGGTGCCCCTGCCCTCTGAGCCTGGTACAGGAGCAGGGTGACCAGACAGAGGACTGTTCTGGAAGGGAAGGTGGGACGGTGGAAAGAAGGAACATCTGCAACCACCCTCCTCAGAAGGAAGCTCTCCCCACAGGGGTGAAGGGGTCGCCACTGGGCAGCTGTCGGTCATCGCAGCCTTCTCTTGACACAGGGCCCTGCACAGGCTGGTGCGGCGCGGCGTGGTAAAGAAGAGCCGAGAGTGGGTGCTGGAGAAGAAGGCCCGCCGGCGGCGGCAGGGCAAGTGAGTGCGGCGGGGCCAGGCCGTGGGGGTCACCTGCCTGTGGGGGTCTGGCTGTGCCCCACTCTGAGGCCCCACTCTGTATTCACACAGGGAAGTCCGGCCTGACACCCAGTACACGGGCCGGAAGCGCGGGCCCCACTTCTGAGCTGCGTGTTTCCCTCCATTACTGACAACATGGCATTTCAGAAGAGTTCTACTGTTTTTTGTTTGTGTGTGGTTTTTTGTTTGTTTTTTGTTGTTTGGGGTTCTTTTTTTGGTGTTTTTGAGACACAGTCTCACTATACAGTTCAGGCTGGCCTTGGGCTCACTTTGTAGCCCAGGCTGGCCTCGAACTCGCAAGGATCCTCCTGCCTCAGCCTCCCGAGTGCTGTGATTATAGGCATGTGCCACCACACCTGGCAGGTCGTACTGTTTTAAGAATATTTTTTCTAAAAAAGTTTATAAGGATTTGTTATTGTACTCTAAAATAAAAAGCAAAAAACTACATTCTCTGGCTCTGGCATCTCTACCCCCTGTGGTCCTAACCCAGTGTCTCAGATCCCTGCTACATAGTGACTGGAAGGCAAGAATTGGGTTTAAACAACACGATCGAAAAAGCACCCTTCCTAACCCGTGCAGAGCTGGCTAGGGGGGTCCCCTCGGGGGGTCCCTCGGGCCTCAGCTCATGTTCTGTGTAGTTGGGGCACTGGGGTATGAGGTGTCTGATACCCACTGGCCTGGGGCCTACACCGCCTCTGCTGCCCTGAAGTGGGCAGCTGTACCGAGCCCCATGGGATGGCCTCTGGGGTCTCCTGTCCCATGGGGAGTGCTCAGGGGCCCAGACCCTGCTCTGGAGCGAGCAGCAGGCAGGCAAAAGATCTGTCACTGGAGGCTTGGGTGCAGGAGGAGGGACTGGGTCTGGGCCTGGCGGTGCAGGACAGACATCGGCCTGGAGCCGCTGAGACCTTCAGGGCTATGGGCTTAGGGCCCACAGATCTAACTCCGAGTGGGGTTTCCGCCCGCCCGGGCATTAGATCGAGATTGGCTACCTCGGGGCGATAGTGGGGTTTGGGTCTTCCCGGGACAACCTGGCTGCTAACCACTGGCTGGCAGGGGCTGGGGCTGGACCCGCAGCCTGCGAGCCCCTTCCCACCAGCACTGACACTGCAGTCAGACATATACAAATGTTTATTCTACATAAAAATTTCACAAAATGGGCAGCTGGTTGTACCAAGACCTTTGGTGAGGGGCGGGGGAGAAGGCAGCAAGGACAGTGGTCACAGTCACTGGGCAGGAGCTAAGCCGAGGGAGGGTGGGGCGCGCACACGGCCCCGCCCCCTGCCGCATGCGCCTGCGTGCACCTCCCGCCTGTCCACAGGGGGCGTGGGCGGGTGCGGTTCAAGGGCGCCCGGAAGGCTGGCCGCTGAATACTGCATCGCATCGGAGACACCTGACACCACGTGGCACATCAATGGGGGACAGCAGGGCAGGATGAGACTGCAGGCCTGAGACATCTGACTTCCCGGAGAGGGGGACCACTGTCCCGAACATGCAACACTGGCTTTCCAACCTGCCAGGCCTTTGGGGACGGCAGCTGCTCTGCCTCCAGCTCCGAAGGCAGAGGCACCGCAGCCCAGAGGATGCCTCCTGGGGCTTCAGGATGCGGGAGGGAGGCTGAGGCAGGACCCGCTGGCTATGCTCCGGGTAGGGTAGCGAGCCTCCTGGCAGTGGTCAGCGAATAGAGGCTTAGTGCTGGGTTATCCCTCGGGGCCACCCCTCCCCAACCTGAAAAGCAGCACCATGTGGCCAGCTGGTCCCCACCCTTCAGGGCTCGGCACTGGGGAACAGCTGGAAGGCTGGGGCAGGTCGGGGCATGGCTGGGGTCCAGAAGGAGCCTGGAGCCCAGGAAAGGTGGACCCCAAGTGAGAGGGTGGGGTAGCCCGGACCAGGGCCCAAGACTTTCCTGCAGGGACCCGTCCCCAGCCCTGCTATGCACCGCCTCTACAGACACTGTCACAGATCATGCACACGACACGGTCAGGGCAGGGTGGAGACGGGGCCCTGAGGGGAGAGAAGCAGGGCAGGTAGGGGGGTGAGGGTGTCCGAGCCAGAAAGGGGGAGGGCAACCCAGCCAGGCAGCGGCAGCCAGGGGCCTCTGCAGGGTGGCCGTCGGGACGGAAGTGGCAAGCGGGGCTCTATCCAAAGATGCCTCCGATGGTGGAAGCGATGACAATGCCCAGGATCACGCAGCAGATGATGATCATGATTTTCTTCTGCAAGAGGGCAGGAAGGAGAGGCCTCATTGGGCAGCTGGGGAGGGGCTGCGCTGAGGGCGGCATCAGGGCCTTGGGGCGGGCAGGTGACAGCCTGGCAGTGAAGGCTCTGTCAGCTTCCAGATGTGGCACAGGCAGGAGGGGAGAGGCTAAGTGATGGACCCAGGCCCGGCAGGTGCTGGGGTGTGGCTTAGGTGGAGCCGGCGACTCACCCTGCGCGCCTTGCTCTGGTACTTCACGGCCTTCTTGGTGTCAGACACAGCCCGCTCCACGTAGTCCACCGCGTGCTCCACGTTGTACTCGATCCTGTCAATCATCTCCCCCTGCGGGGCCGGGGGCGCCCAAGCTCCAGAGAGCTCCCTCCTCCGCGTGGTGGGGAGGCTCGGGGCAGGGCCTCAGGGAAGCACCCTGAAGGCAGAGAGAAAGGTGAGGTGGTAAGGCCAGGCTGCCGCTGCCCACCTGTGCCCAGGGCATGGAGGGCGGGGGGCTCAGGGGCAGCCCCCACTTCTCCCCGCAGAGCAGCCGTCCTGGGGGTGGAGCTGACCATGCAGTCTCAGCCAAGTGGGGACCATGCAGATGATGCTCAGCCCCGGGCCTGGTGCGAGGAGGGAGGCAGGAACAGGAGTCTGAGCGCTCCCTGGCTGTCACTCTCAAGGTGGCCTTGCTGAGCCTTCCCAAACATCTTGTTTAAGGTCCTCTGGCAGCCCCAGAGTTCTCTTGGGCACCGTGATCTGGTCCCATGGTTCTCCTAGGGACCAATAAGACCATGACACTGACCCCAAGGCTCCCAGCAACAGTAGAGCTCCCTCTCCAGTTCAGATGCCTTCTCGGTATCTGTGTCACCATGGTCTGCGGCTCACCAGGACACAGCCGCAGTTTCCTGTGGCCTTCCTACTTCCTAAGCTCACGTCACCTTTATACTTAAAGCCCCTCAATCAAGCTAGGCATGGTGGCACCTTAATGGCAGCACTCAGGAGGCTGAGGCAGGAGGAGCTGGACTTGGAGCCGAGCTTGGGCAACTTAGCAAATTCAAGGCCAGTCTAGACTATATAATGAGACCTGGTCTCAAGAAACCGAAATACAAAACAAAACTCAATCAAGAAGAGCCTCCAGACTCTTTCTGCCAAGACGTCATAGGAAACAAACTTCTGCCTCTCTCAAAGCCCAAGTGAAAGCAAAGACCTTGGAGGCCAAAAGATGTCCACAGCCACAGAAATATCCGCACATCACCCACACTGCAGAGGCCCAGGTACTGTGGCTCTGGAGGCAGCCCCAATGCCCTGGGGAGAGCAGGCCTAGGAGTACCAAGCTCCCCTGGCCACAGAGCCAGCCACGATGAAGGCAGAGGACAACATGCATGTTCACTGTGGGCGTCGAGGCGACAAGCACCAGACCAAGCACGTAGGGAGAAGCTCTCTGACAGTGTAGCGAGGTCATCATGCCCCGAAGGAGAAGATGCCTGTGCCTGGCTGGCTCCTGGTTGTGCTGCTTTGGATGGTACCAACAAAACTAGGATCAACTAATCCGAATCCGGAAGGCTAACTCAAAATACATATTTTTTCACCACGTAAAAGAAAAAAACGACTGGGTATGATGGTACACATACTGTGGGAGGCTGAGGCAGGAGGATCGCAAGTTTGGGCCCAGCCTGGGCAACTTAGTGACTTAACGAGAATTTGTCTCAAAAAGGCGAGGGATGTCACTCACTGCAAAGGGCCCCAGCTTCAGTCCCCAATCCCTCTCTGTCCAAAAAAGGAGCCTCTAGATCCCCCACCAAGGCCTCATCTATTTTCCTTCCACGTATACCTTGGCTCTGACCTCTCCTCGTGCTCCAGCACAGACATCCTTCCTCTCTCCACCCAAGTCCTGCTCTCGCCCTAGGCCCTCTTCCCAGCCGGCTCCTCTCACCTCCCCTGGCAGCTGTGCAAACTCCCCCTGTGGGGAAGGCCCAGTCACTGTGTCACCAGGTCACTCAGAGTGGGGCTCTCACACCCGAAGGAAGCACTGCCATCCCCTCATGAGACCTGGACATCTGGGGGCCTGTGCTGGACCCAGCAGCCTCTGGAACACGGCATTGGAAACTTACAATAAGCCGTCCAGGTATCTCAGGGACTTGCAAGTCCAAGCACCCAGCAGTCACACCGCCACCTGTCTCCTGAGCACTGGACACCACTGGAAAACGTTCATTTGCTGTTTGCTCCCAGAAGCAGCTCCTCACTGTCTGCCCGCTGCTATACCCCCCAGTCCCAGATACGCAGCCAGTCCCGGGGCACTCGGTAAAGAGCTGGTGACTAAGACAGGTCAGGGGTGGGCCGGTGGGGCCATGCAGGGCCTGGGGTCCTGGAGGGCCAAGCAGAGCCATGCAGAGCGGGTCCCGCAGGGGCCCAGCGGTGCTTCCCACAGCAGATGCTCGGTTACCTGAGCGCTCCGTCCCTCCCGGCAGTGCAGCGTGTTGGGCAGAAACAGCAGGGTTAGCGCAGCCCCAGGTGCTGCTGCGGACGGGGAGGGGTGTGACCTGGGCACCCACCTGGCTCTCCACCAGCATGGCCATGTCCATGAACATGTCGTGCAGCTCACGGATGCTGTTCTCCAGCTTGATGATCTCACTGTGCCGGGTCTCAATCTCGCTCAGAGCCTGCTTCGAGATGCTGGAGTCCATGATGATCTGGGGGCAGGGGACAGGAGCTGAGCCCGAGGCCGGCCCAGGGCTGGGGGAGTAGGGGACCACGACAGGGAGGGCAGAAGGCCAAGGCGGAAGGCCGCTGGGATGGGGAGGTGCTCTGGAGAGCGGGCAGGGGCTCCCTCGCTAGCCGCAGTGTTCCCATCTTAGCGGCAGTCACCTAACTGTACCTGTAATACAGGGCTGGTAACGCCCCGCCCGTGATCTCCAGTCAGGGCTCAGTACGTGACAGGCCTTGGTAGCGGGTCTGACAGACCAAGGTGACTGTCCCACGAGCCTCGAACCTCCTGCCACGCCCCCTCCTGCATGAACTCTCCTCCTTCTCCCCTCCTGGATGGAACCCACTCCCCCAAGCCTGCCTCCGGCACCTGTGTGCCGCCACCTTCGGGCGGCAGCCCCTGCAGGACGGGACAGCGCTCTCACCAGTCATTGGCCCAGTGTCCTCCAGGAAGGGACAAAAGACCTGAGAGTGACAGGAGAATCCCCAGCCACTGGCAAAGGATCAGAGACAGCAAGGAAGTGGATACAACTGGGGGCACCTGGGACATTTTTTTTCCCTATGTTGGGGATTGAACCCAGGGCCTTCACAAAGAGCTACATCTCCAGCCCTTTTTTATTGAGACAGGGTCTAAGTCCCTAAGGTGCCCATGTGGGGCTCGAACTTGCAGTCTTCCTGCAGAGTGCTGGGGTTTCGGTGTGTGCCCCCATGCCAGGCTGGGGCACGGCTCCAGTCCAGCTTTGCCCCGAGTACTTCCTCTCTCTGCGACTCAGCTCTTTTTTTTTGTTTGTTTTTCCGGTACCGGGAATCGAACTCACGACGTTGCGCTTGCCAGGCAGGTGCTGTGCCGCTGAGCTAAATCCTCAGCCCCCGTCTCTCTCTCTCTCTCAGTCCTGGCTTGCAGGATGGCTGTGTTCAAATACTGCCCAGACCCAGCGCTGGGTACACACTGGGTCTTGGTGGGAGGTGGTACGGTCGGGGAGTCACGGTAGGAGGGGTGGAGGGCACGCTCACCCCAGAGGCAAAGATGGCAGGGTTTCCACTTTCCAGCATGTCTTCCAACTCCTCACTGGTTGTGGTCCTGCCAGCTGCAGAGGATCGCAGTGAGCAGGGTCCTGTCCAGCAAGCTCAGCCGCAGCCTGGTCCCTGCCCTCCCGCCGCAAGCCCCGCCCTTAGCCGCAAGCCCCGCCTCCAGCTCACTGATCTCCAGCTGCCTCTGGATGCGGCCTTTGCAGCGCTCGCGGTAGTCGGACTGCGTGGCATTGTACTCTGACATGACCTCTACAAACTTCCGGGACAGCGTGGAGTGCTGGGGGCGCGAGATAAGGGTTCAGGTGTCAGCGGCACCGGGGCCTGGAGACTCGGGCGGCTCCCAGCCCTGGGTCCCGCCGCACCTGGGTCTTTCGGATCCTCAGGTCTGCAGAGGAGCGGTTCAGGCCTTCCTCCTGCTCAATGCTCTGCTCGATGCCTGCGGCGGGAGCGGTGCTGAGCCACGACCTCCCCACCCACTGCCTCCTAACCCGGCCCGGGGCCTGCTCCATGACCGTGGAGATGGGGGTCACAGGGGAAGCAGAGGAGGATGGTCTGCCAGACCTGACGAATGGCAGCCCAGGCGGGCCCTTCGGCTGGAGTTCGAGCCTACTGTGTGCCAGGTCTGGTGCCTCAGGCATTGTCCCTCCCCCTGCAGGACATGGGGCCCTCAGATTAGGCAGCCATGTGTCTGCATTCACTTAGCATTGAGCAGCCTACATGGGGCCAGGAGGTGCTGCTGCTTTTTTTTTTTTTTTTTACTTTGAGACCGGGTCTTGCCCAGGCTGGCCTTGAACTCACAGAGATCCTCCTGCCTCAGCCTCCCGCAGTGCTTGGGATTACAGGTGTGCACCACCACACGCGGCTTACTTTTAAGTTTTTTGAGACAGTGTCTCGATACAGTCCAGGCTGGCCTCAATCTTGTGGTCCTCCTGCCTCTCCCTCCCATGCAGCTGGGATTACTGGTGGACACCACTGTGTCTGGCTTTCCCTAACCTTCTTTGGCAGGCATGAGGGACAGTGGCCTGAGAGGAGCAGGTCTTTGACAAAGCCTCAGGTGTCTATGTCCCTGGCTGAGCCCAGAGCCCAACCCCAGTGGTGTCATCACCCAAAGGGACCCAGTGTGCCCCTTAGGATCAGTGACACCCCACGGGCTACCCCAGGAAACACAACTAAGCCACCACCAGACCATCTCGGACAAGCCAGGCGTGGACTCACTCTTTAACTTGGAACGAACTTTGTTCGCTGTCTTCTTTATGTCGGACATGAGTTCCTCCAGCTCCTCCTTGGTCTCTGAGGAGGCAGGAAGAGTCGGGTGTAGACACCCCAACTTCCCACTGCCTGAGGTTCAGGCTCCGTGGGCACCTGGCCCTGGCCCTCCCCGCCAGTGCGGGCTCTGCCTGCTCCCACTCTGGGCCAGGGCCCCCCAGCTGTAGCGTCACCCCCTCACTGCCTTCCAAGGCGCCTCGTGGCTCCTTCGCCGACTCCCACCCCCTGGAGACAACAGATGGGTCTAAATTTAAGGCAGGAATAATTGTGGAGCAGCTGGCGAGGCTGCAGTTGGCACCAGCGAATGTGTACTTGGTACTTGCCTGAGTTGGAGGTGGGTGCAGGCTCACCTGGCCAGGGAGCTAAGCAGCTGCCCAGTGAGGTGCCAGGGACCAGGGTGGCAGAAGCCCTGTGTCACCCCCTTCCCCAGGGTCACAGCTGCAAGGCCCCAGGCCAAGCAGGCCCTGTTCTCACAAAGCTGCCCCCAGGTGCTGAGCTCCACCAAGTGGCCGGGGACGGAGGCACCAGGCCCAGCTGGGGGCCTGTGGAGGTTCAAGCAGGCGGTCCCCGTGTGACACGGTGGGCCCTGGAAGTGACAGGACGGTAGGGCGGGCGGTGACACGGTATTTGTGCCCCTTCCTCTAGCTAGAACCATCCCCCTGTGCTGGCAGAGGCCATGAGGGTGCCCTGCTTACCCCTCTCCCAGCAGCTTTGTCCCCCTGGGGCGCGCCTGGCAACCCCCAAGCCCTGGGGGAAATGGGACTGGGCTCGTAGCTGGCACCTTTCCAACTGCACCCTCCTGGGCTGGGGATTCTCCCTGGGGGGCTTGGGGAAGGGTGCGAATAGTGGCGCATCCCAGGCCCTAGACGGGGGCACCGCCACAGGGAACGTGCGGCAGGGGGCGCCACAGAGCGGAGGAGGGAGCCTCCTTAGCGCGAACAAAGGGAAACTTGGTTACCAGCTGCTCTGACGTCTCAGCCTCTTTTGCTCAGACCCAAAATAGCCCAGCCGGATGGCAGCCCCCAGCGGAGGCAGAGCAGCCTGGGCCAGGAGAGCCCCCTGCAGCCGCCGCCTCCTCCCCACTCAGCTCTGCCCGCTGCCACCCTGGGTGGGTTCAGGTCTCAGCCAGGTCACGGGGACCTTCCCCACCGTGCAGGACACAGCAAGGGAGGAGCAGATGCCGGGAGGGGGCCCTCGCCCACCCCCCTCTACAGCAGAGGAGCCCACTCCTCAGAGTGCTGTTCCCACCCCACGATCGGCCCTCCCGACCCTCGGCGGACATGCAGTGACCCAGATACGCACGGGCCCGCAGCACACGTCAAATGCTGTCTCCCCGGTCTTTGGGGAGGGGGTGACACGTGGTGACTGCACTGGAAGCCCCTCGGGGACAGTTCCTGGCCACCCAGCCACCCACTGCCTTGGCAGGGCTGGGCCCTGGGCACAGTGGGTGGGGCACGGCCTCGGTTCACACCGCTCTGGACTGGGGAAGCTGGTCCTGGTCTCTCAAGGTCAGCTGAGGGGACTAGGGGTGTGGGGTCCTGGACAGGAGGCCATGCACCGGGCATCTGGGTGGCCAGGTTTCGCCCCTTGGACACTTGGGCACAGCCAGGGCGGGGGACCTTCCCGCGCTTCCTCTTGCCTTCGGTGAGAGGAGGGGACATCCGCAGTGGGCGGGCACCCCGGTCCGAGTCCAAGTGGGCTCCTGAGTGCCCACTGCAGGAGGCCGATCACAGCCTCCCTGGGCCTGCGCTGTGGCTGAGCTTCCTCCAGGGAAGAGGACTGGGGCGGTGTGCGCGGCAGCCGGGCGCATACTGGTGCAACACTCAGAGGGCTGGGCAAGGGGGCCTGTCTGAGGGCAGAGCGGAATCCAGACCCAGGTAGCTTCCGGTGCAGAGGGAGAGAGGGGACTTCCTAGAGCCCCAGGAATGGCTGGCTCCAGGGTAGCAAGTGGCCAGGTGCCAGGGCCGCATGCTTGCCGGAAGCGGCCTGCCTGGCCAGCTTACCCTCCCACGGCGCTGTTGCCTCGGCACTGCCATCTGCTTCTGGGACCGGCGGAGGGCGGGGCGGCCTTCTACTGATCAGAGGCTGCTTCTCCCTGCCCGGCCTTCCGCGAACCCCAGGGCAACGCCACAGTGGCCTCAAGAAAAAGCCAGCATCCCTGTGGAGGGTGGGTGGCCACGCGGCCCCATCCAGGCCCCAGGAGGGCATCCGTCCCCTCTCCAAGTTCCTGTGTGAGACCCAGGTCTGGCTGGTGGCTGGTAATCATGGGTGCTGCTCCCTCAACTGCGGCCCCAGGACAGCTGTGTCCCGCAGTGTCTCATGGAACTGGGCCACAGTGGCCCAGCAGCAGTGAGGGGAGCTGGTCCCGGAGCCCCCCGCCCCCCACTCACTCTCATCGGGGTTGGGGGAGGCCAGGATGGCGCTGTGCTTGCGCTTCACCTCCTCCACGTTCTCTGCGATCTTGTCAATGAAGCCTCGGATCTCTTCCACCTGGGGACCAAGGCCAGCGTCAGGAGGACAGATCCAGGGACAGGGCAGGACGACCGGGCCCCCAGGGGAGGCAGGGCAGGGGCCGAGGTGGGAGGGCGTGGGGTGCTCCCCCACTTTCCTTGCTCTGGGCTTTCACCTGTACCCCCACAAATGGGTCCCCTCATGGGTGATGGCCCTGGCCCAGCTTAGGGGTTTGAGGCGGCCATCCAAGTGAGGTCCGGGACATTGTGCGGACAGATGCGCTGCGCTGGCTCCCACCTGCTCGAAGAACTCATCCATGAAACGGTCTCGGTCCACGGGGACAGTGACATCATCATCGTCATCGCTGTCCTTGGCCTGCACAGGGTTGTATACACGTGAGTGGACCTTGGGCCCAGCTTTTTTGGCATCTGTGCATACTGGCATCCCCGGACAAGCATAGACCTGGCTGTGCCCTCAGCCCCCCGCCACCAGGAGACCCAGAGGACCCCTGAGCACCCAGGGTGAGGGCAGAGGTCTACAGCGGTGGCCAGGGACTCCCTCTCTGGCCCAGTGGCCTATCCCCACCCAGCTGCTGGGGAGGCCCAAGAAAACCCCAACCCTGAAGCCAGTCCACCGGTTGGTGCGTCCTTGGGTGGGCTGGGCCGTGGCGGCTCTTGGGTCCCCAGGCCCTGCCGGAGACAAGCATCTGCACGCAGGCTTCCACAGCCAGCACTGAGTCTCAAGTGCCTTGTCCCACTGGGCTCTGGAGGGGCAGGCCTGGCCTCGCTGTCCCAGGCCTGCACACTGGCAAGCCCTGGCCAGGATGTGGCCCGGCTCAGACACAAGGCCACCCCACAGCCCGCTGTCTGGGTGGGGCTCTGTCGGGCAGCAGCTGTGCGCACCCTGCAGGCCCTCTCCCCTTGTTGGTCTGGTCATGGCGCCCTGCCACGCCTCCTTCCAGCCCCACAGCAGCCTGGCAGGTGGGAGGTCACACTGCCACCTGGCGGAGTGGCCCCGCGGGGCAGCAGCACAAAGCCACCCCACCAAGGGTGCGGGGGGGATGTGATTGTGCCTCTGGCTTCCAGGGGTCTGGTTGTAGTTATTACGGTCCAGCCCGCACCTCAAGTCAGCCAGGGCCGCCCACTCTACCCCAAGGCCGAGATGCCTCTACACAGCAAGGACGGGGAGCGGCAGGGCCCAGGGGCAGGGGCCATCAGCTCCCAGACTGGGACTCACGCCCCACAGAGGGACACTGCCAGGCTTGCAGCAGGATCGAGGCAGACAGAGATCAAGGGACCACAGGCCAGAGCCTGGCTGGGATCAGCCGCTCTGGGTGTTTGCTCTTCCGTCAAATGGGGACAGGGCCACCTGGCTGCGGGGAAGGTGGGCTGGGAACGAGGGGACAGCAGGGACTCCCGGCCGGACTGTTAGCCAGCCAAAGCGGGGACCCACCGCCGAGAGGGGGTGGCTGGAGCTTTCTGGGGGCGGCTCAGAGGGGCCTCCTCCCATCGGGAGCTCACACCTCCGCCCCCGGCAGCTAAAATAAACCCCCGTTCCCGCTCCCCACCCGTGTCTGTGGCTGCTGCCAGGTGGCCGCCCCTCCCCCAGCCCCTTAACCACAGAACATCCGGGAGCTGTTTTCACACTTTTGGACTACGCGCTGGGCCCAGGAATTGAATCAGAGCGCTCCTGGGGGAAACCGAGGCACGCTGTGGGTGCAGGAGCCCCGTTCCCGGTCCTGGGAAGCCTTGGGGGCTTGTGCCTTGCAGTGTCCCACATAATCTGTTCTGGGGTCCGGAGAAGCAGCCGGAGTACAGGAAAGGGGGACAGGAGGGTGTTCGGGGCCCTCTTCGAGGGGGGATGTGAGTGCTAGCCCTGTCCTCAGAGGCCCTGGGGGCTGGGCTGGGGGCTCTCTGGACTTCAGCCCGGCCACCTGTCACCCGGGGACCTATCTTTCCCAGGTGTGGTCCGGCCAGCTGCAGCTCCCGCCGAGACCTCACCGAGTGCCTGGCTCCTGGATGCCTCACCCCAGCCCGCTGCTTCCTCCACTGCCCCCCAGGGCCCCATAACCATCTCCTTGCCCACTAGTTTCCCAGGCAGCTCTGCCCGCTACCACAGCCCTGACAGTCTGAAATTCCTTCCCTTCCCTGTGGTTGGGCCACGGGCCATAAAGAACCCACTGGTGCCCTCCCCCTGTGATCCGCAGGCAGCATCCGCAGTCTCTCTTCTCCGGTTAAGCATTCCTGCCCCTCCAGGTCCTTCCCGGGAACCTCAATCTGCCCAATTCTGCCTGTCTTCTCCTGCAGTACAGCACACACACTCAATCTGCTGCTGACTGGGTTCTGACCAGAGACAAAAGCCAGTCACACCCTCCCTCTTCCTAGAGGGTCTATCTTCATTCACATGGCCAGCGATCACAAAGGTGATCATGTAGTGCTTCTTGCCAAGGAAAAGCCCCAAACCCTTCCCTGCCAGCCTGTACAGTTAGATTTTGGGTTCGAATAAAGGACGTTTTTCCTGTTTCATTTCTTCATTTGCTCAGATCCTGGAGTTTGTGGAAAGCGGATGGCTCTTGACTGCTTCTCGCTGCAACTTGTATCCACGTCCGGGACCGAGCCCTGCGGCCTCTCCCGAGACACCCTGCAGATTAACTCAGGTCTTTTATCACTTTTCGCTGGACACTGAATTAAATGACAAGGACGGAGGATGCAGACAGCAGAGCCCGCCCCCCTCGGGTGGCAAGCCAGACATTCTTGACCTAAGCGGAACTAGGTAAGGAGGCTGGCCTGGCACCCATCTTCCCGCTGTCTTGGGCCCGAGGCAGGGGGTGGGGGAGGTGGGTGGGCGTCGTACACTCGTACCAAGTGGGCGCCCAGACGCCTGCTGAGTGATCAGGACCCCAGCTCTCTAGGAATCTACGTGGCTGCAGTCAAAGCTCCGGAAAGGGGCTGGACTGGAGGTGAGGACTCCGGAGGCGGCATCTGGAGCTCAGCTGTCCTCTGGACAGATGTGGCCAGGATCACACTGGCACCTTGCCAGCCACCTGCCCAATGCCAAGCCAGAAGCCCAGGAGTACCCTCCCTCCTCCTGCCCTCCTCACGTCCTGCCAACACCCAACTGGTCCTGGCGGCTTTCATTCCTTATTTTGTGCTTCTCAACCCTGGCCCAGTACTAGACGCCCTTGTGGGGATCTTCTGAGCGGATGGCAGTCGTGAGATTTGAACCCAGGCAAGTGCTCTACCACTGAGCTACAGTCCCAGCCCCTTGGGAAAACATTTTTTCTTTTCTTTTTTTTTTTTTTTTTTTTTTTGGTACTGGGGATTGAACCAGCCCTTTCTAAATTTTTTTTTATTTTGAGGCAGGGTCTGGCCAAGTTGTTCACACTGAGCTTAAACTTGAGACCCTCCTGCCTCAGCCTCCCAGAGGGCTGGCATTATAAGTGTGTGCCTCCAGGCCTTGGGGGACTTTTAAAAACCAGCTCCCAGAATCCTACCCCAGAAATACTGATGAGTTTAGAGGATTCTAAATTTTTTTGTTGTTGTTTTTCTTCCAGTACCAGGAATCGAACTCACGACCTTGCGGCAGCCACAGCACTGTGCCGCTGAGCTAAATCCCCTCCTGATGAGTTTATAGGGGTGGGGCTGGGGAGGCTGGTTTTAAAAAGCACCCTCTGCTTCCGTACCACCCACCGGTGTGGTCTCCCTCCTTGCTGGCTGGCTCTCCCAGCTCTGGCCTCATCACCTCCAGCCTGCACAATCCGGAAACAGGAGGGCTGGGAGCAAGTACGGCTCCCCCGAAAAGGGTCTTGAGGAAAAGGAAACTCTGTCAGGGCCATGGGAAGCAGAAATCCCCTGAGCTTTCCCTAGTGGTGGCCAGGTAGTCGTGGCGGTCTTCCCAGCAGAGGTGCTGGGATTCCAGGACACCTTCCTGAAAGCAAGCATCTGATTCCTCCAGGAGACACAGGCTGGTCCCTGGCAATGGGGCGATGGCGTCGGGCCAGCCGGTAGGGTTGATTCATCGCTGCTGAGCAGTGCACTAGCTGTTGTCTGCCTGGAGGGCTATTTTTTTTCCCTTCCTCTTTTTAATGACTAATCAAAGTCAATATCACTAGTGCCAAGAGGCCCCGAGCGAGGGGAGGCCAAGCTGAGTTTCCAGGAAAGCAGCGGGCCCTACACCCTCTCCGTGCCTGCCACGCCAGGTCCCCAGCCGCCTGCCCCCTTGGGCCCTGGGCCCTGCTGCAACACGGGATAAACCCCAGCCTTCCCTAAGCTTCCGCGCTGACGCTTGGACTAGACAGTCCCGTGAGGCCACACCATCTGCACCCCAGATGGAAACATGCCCAAACCCATCATTGTTCTAGGAACCCCTGGGAGCGCCCGGGAGGGGAGGGGGAAGACCCCCTCTTTCCTCCTCTGCACGAAGGTCACACTGGCAGCACTTTACAGATGTGAGATGAGGTGTGGGGCTGGGGAACTGGAGGGAAAGGGGACCCTAGCATGGGGCTGGGCCTGCTCTAGTCCTCTGGGGACCCTGAGAGGCCAGCTGTCAGCCCCCTTCTCTCTTCTTGGAGCATTCCATACTGTGCCTTCCCTCTAGCTGTTCCATCCTTTTTTTTTTTTTTTTCCCCTGTACCGGGAATCGAACTCACGACCTTGTGTTTGCCAGGCAGGCGCTGTGCCGCTGAGCTAAATCCCCAGCCCCCCATCCCATCCTTTTGGATCACCCTCTCTGGGCCACCCGAAGTCCTTGTGTGTGTGGGGGGGGGTACTGGGAATTGAATCTGGGGACTTTGCATTGAACTACATTCAGAGCCCCTTTAAAATTTTTTTTAATTTAGAGACAAAGTGAGCTAAGTCCCTAAGATGAATTTGAGATCCTCCTGCCTCAGCCTCCCACAGTGCTGGGGTTACAGGTGTGCGTCACCACATCTCATGTGCCAAGTCTTCTTCCAGGGTCCCCAATCCTGCTTCACCCATCTCTTGTGGCAGGTCCTATGTGTCCTACCTAGTCCAGTGTGTAGACAGCAGAATTCTACACCCAGAGATAGGGTGGGTCAGCTCCAGGAAGTCCCCAGACAGAAAATCAGAGGGGTTCTGCACTGGGGGAAGAGGCTATTGCACGCCTGGATATGGCTGTGTGGGGATAACCTCCACAAAAAGCCCCTCCACTGCCCTGTGATCTCAGCCCCAAGGGTCTAAGTGTTGAGGCCCCCACGGCCCCTCACTGCTGGCCCCTCACCGCCATCTCCGCAGCAGGGAGAGCCGCCTGAGGTGGAGGCTGAGAAGGCTGGAGGGCTGGGCTGGGCCGGGCCTGCAGAGCGCCGAGGATGCGCGCCAGCTCCTTCCCCAAGTGTGACTTTTATAAATAAGCTCCCTTCGCCTGCCTTCCTTCCAAATGTGGTGGCACTGGGGGGGGAGGGGGCGAGCTGGGGACAGAGCACAGCTGCTGCCTTCCTGAGCTCTATCCTTGTCCAGACCTTCATTCTCAGGGGTGTGTCTGGGCTGAAAATTCTGACTCTCGGGGTTCAAGGTCTCCTCCAAACATGGCGTTGCAGTCAGGAATTAGGGACCACACCTCTTGCCCCGAGAAGCTGGGTTCTAGGTTCTCCTACTTTCCACTTCTCCAGGTGGGAGCCCCAGGCCCAGAGGAAAAGGAGCTCCAGGAGGGGCAGTGGCCCCGAGCTCGACTGTTCGCCCTCGCCCGAACGGGCTTCCGACGGCCGCCCCTCCCGGCTGCCAGGAGCCTTCCGTGGGCAGTGCCAGGTGGCAGCGGGCACAGTCTCCGGGGCTCCAAACGCCTGGGCTGGGCTTGTGCAAAGGGAGCCTCACTGGTTCGAAGCCAGGCCAGGCCCCGGGGCTCAGGGATACCCAGCTGGAATGCGGAGGTCGGAGGCAGAGATCAGGCTTCAAGTTGCTTAAAAGCCTCGATCTTCTCGGGCCACCCAGTGCCAGCCAGGCCTGTCTTCAGGACTGGGCAGAGCTCCTTTGTCGCCCACCCCTCCGTCTACAAAGCAAGCCACTCTTCCCTTGCCTCAGTTTCCCCTTCAGGAGAGGAGATGGAGGGTGAAAAGCCAGAGGCTGCCACCAGATGTAAGAACCGTGTTCCGCAGGCCATGCATACCATCCCTTGGTTCCCACGCATACCCTCTAGCGACCCAGCAGGTGCCCCATTCGGGCAGACAGCGCCAGGACAGCCTTCAGCTGTGTGACTCAACGCTGCACAGGAAGCCAGAGGGCAACCACAGGGCTGGCAGGGGAAGTGTTCAGAGCCCCTCCTGGGGCCTGGCCACCGCTCAGCCAGGAGTAACACACGGCTGCAGGCTGCTGGGGGCCAGCACGAGCAGAGGAGTCAGAGCGGGGCCCAGGACACCAGACACCCAGACATGGGCCTGGGGACGATGGGGGACAGAGAGTGCTAGCCCCTGGGTTAAAGGCCCAGGACACTTACACGTTCTGCGTGGGCAGACCTAGGGCTCTAGCTGTAAGTGGGGCATAGGGAAAGGGTGCTGGGGAGCACCCCCCGGGAGGGTCCCCAAGATCAGTGGGCGGGGCCTGCCAGCAGGGTGGTCAGCCAGGGACTCAACGTGGCACTGAGGTGTGGTGGCACGCGCCTGCAATTCCAGCACTCTGGGAGGCTGAGGCAGGATGATCACAAGTTCAGGCCCAGCCTGCGCAACTGAGCAAGACGCTGTCTCAAAATAAAACGGGCTGGGGGCTGGGAATGCAGAGTAGTGCAAAGGCCCTGGGTTCAATCCCTGGTACCAAAAATAAGCATCTAGAAATCTGGCATTGAGCCCCGACTCCCCGTTCCCACTAGCAGGATTCATTTCCGTCAGTGCTGCCCCCGCCCCAGGCCAGGAGTGGGGAGAGGTGCTGAGGAGCTGGGCAGGGGTCTCTGTCCCAGCTGGCATGCGGCGGCTCTGGACTCCTTACGGAGGTGCAGCCTCTTGCCTCCCCGAACGCCGGCCCAGGAGCCACACCCCAGGGGCCTCCCAGACACAGGTGGAAAAATAGATCCAGGTCGCAGTCAGCCCGGGGAGCCCAGGGAGGGTCTGGGAACGGCACCGTGGGCTGCCCCGAAGGTGGCTCTGGGGGTGGGGTGCAGGTGGAATTCCCCCAGCTCGGGGCGGACACAGATCACGACCGCGGTGGCGCCCGCAGCCACAGGTGACCGCAGGCACAGGTCCCGAGTGGCGGCGCCCGGAGGCGGCGCGCGCCCAGGAGCTCCCACCCGGCGCGCATCCGGACCCACAGCGCACCCGGGCAGGGGCGCGGGTCCCGCCGTCCGTCTACACCGCAGGCTCAGCGACGAGGGGCAGCGGAGGGACTGATAGTACCGGACCGATCCTCGAGTGGGGGAGAGGGGTCAGGCTTCCATCTCGCCAGGCAAACCCCACCCTCTGATCCCCCAAAACACAGGGGGCGCCGAAAAGTTTATCCAGGACCCCCGCCTCCAGCCTGCAACGCGGCTGAACCAGTGACCCCGAGAGGGTCCGAGGGGCGGAACCCGGAGGGGTCGGGGTCCCTCAGCCAGCACGGGCCCCCCAAGTTCCGATCAGGGGCGCCCCGATGGCGCGCGAGCCGGGCGGGAAGAGCGCGGCCGGACTCACCGTGCGGAGCTCCTGGGTTCGGTCCTTCATGCTCCCGGGAGTGGCAGCGGTACCGGCTGCAGCGAGCGAGCCCCGCATGCGCGACGGCCGCCCCGCGACTGCG